ATATCAGCAAACAATCCCGAAATTGATGAACCCATAGATGTTCCATATATCTGTTTGTAAAATTTTGAATTAAATTGAAAGAAAGTGTGATCATAAAGGAAAAAAACTAATGTCATAGCCATTCATAAACGTGAATTTAATCACAATTTCGATTGGAATGATTTCTCAATTCTTGACAACGAACCTGTGTGGCGGAAAAGACTGATCTCTGAGATGATTCATATTGGGCTACAAAAAAACCCTCTTAACAAAAAAGATGATATAAAATTTTTAAATAAACAATATTTGAATTTCTTTTCTAATAAATTTTGAATTATTTCTTAAATTATTTTCTGAATAAAAACAAATATCTCTGATATCGGTCTTTACCATTTATCTATATATCTATATATACTTTGATTGTAAATATTTGTATACATCTGCAATGAGTTTATTGACTTCAAATCTACAAACGATTTAATTTGTTCAATTTCTAATTACCTTTTAGTTTGTCAGTTGAGTTCGATGAATGAAAACGCTCGTACCATGTCTTTGTAAATAATTTTAATAATTTTTCTTACGGTAATTCTAAAAAATTATTTTATATATATATATTTTTTTTTTTTTTTAATTGTGTTAATAGTGTTAATATTTTTGTGACCTTTATTTTTGTATTTTGTTTGTAATATGAAATAAACTTTGCAGTTTCTGAAGAGGATAGCTGTGCTATCGAAACGTTAAAGAAAAGATTTTGTTCTTTTTTTCTTTTTTATTGATTGACTTGGAGGATTGATAACTTCTTATTTATACTAATAGAATTTAAAATTCTTGAAAAACAATTTAATTATTCTCAAAATATTTTTAAAAAATTCTATATAAGAATTAAATTACTAGCTCAATACAATTTTTGAATATATTCGTCAAAAGAATTGAAATAATTCTATTATTTTCAAAAAGTAATTAAAATTCTTATGATGAATTCAATTATTTTGAATATACTTAATTTTAATAAAATTCTTTAAAGAAATTCAATTATTTTCGAAACAACTTTAATTGAATTTTTCGAAAAAATTTCATGATTTTTAAATATTTCTATAAAATTCTTCATAAACAATTTAATTATTTCTTAAAATTTTAATAAATTCTTCGCAAGAAATCACTTATTTTCAATACAATTTTAATAAAATTCTTCTTCATAAAATTCAATTGCTTTCGAAATTTTCAATTAAAATTATTAAAGAAACTCCATTAGTTTAAAAAAAAATTCAAAGAAATTTTTCAAAAAAATTTAATTAGGATTTTTAAAAATATTAATAAAATTCTTTGCGAGAATTTAGTTATTTTTCTAAATAAAGAAAATCTTTGAAGGAATTCTATTATTATCAAATTTTTTGATAAAATTCTTTGCAACAATTCGAAGATTTTCAATACATTAATTTTAAAATTGAAAATATTTGAAAAGAAAAATTAAAAAAAGATTAAGAAACCAAAATGTAAACAACAATTAACTTCAAACTGCGAATAGGTTATCGAAACATGTACTCTTTATTATTAATTTATAAATATTATTTTTAACTGAAATGTTTAGACATTTTTTTTAAATAATAAAAATATTAATTTATGAATGTTTAAAGGTTATTATTATTAAACAATTTATTTATTTGCTGTAGTGTATTAGTGTCAATTAATGCTTTATTGAATCACTCAACAAGTCACTGAAAATAGAGCGTCTGTGTTCAGTCAGGTTCCGTAGCATAGTGGTTAGGGCGTTAGTTTCGTAGTCCGTAGTTCGTAGGTCGTAGGTTCAAGTCTCGCGTGCGTTAGATTTTATTTATTTCGTAGGTTTGCGTTTATTCCGATTTTTCTGTATTGTATAGGTATTAGTAGACAATTTAATGATTATATACAACGTTAAATAATTTAATTAACAAATATTTAATTTAAAATTTTTCTTATATTTATATATAAAGGGATATGTATTAATCCCCACATATATACTAACATTATTTATGAATTCGCTATTGGTCACGATTAAATTAAAAAAAAAGTAAAAATCATTAAATAATAATGCCATTTATTAATAATTAAAGTTATTATAAAAATTAGTTAAAAATGATCTCAAATATGCTATGAGCAGTTTTTCCAGGGTTTTGGGAGAGGAAAGAATTCTGTAAGTAAGGGTCAAGCAGTATTTAATAAGGTTCTAGGAACACCTGCTTTCCCCCTTTTACCATCTAAATTTGTCGCTAACCAGGGGTTTGCAGGAGGTAATCAGAGTTAACTTGCAATGCAAATAAACTCTGCTTTCATCCTATTACATCCTTACAAACCCTCAGTTTTAAGGAGGTAAGCAGGTCTAAAAGTTCGACTCGGGATATGTCACCATGAGTGGCACCATTAATTTGTCTCCCCTAATGTGCTATGATGTGAATGGCGTTGTGCAATTCGAAAGTCAAAGCTTCGAATTTCGAATTGTCCGATTCGAATCGAAAGTTAACCGAGTCGAGTCGTTCAATTCGCAATTCGAAACTTCGAATTGGCTGATTCGAATCGAAAGTAGACCAAGTTGAGTTTTACAATTCGAATTTCGAATTGGCAAGTTCGAATCGAATTTTCTCTCGATTCGAATTTTGCACACCTCTAAATATTAAATTAATTACAGCATTTTTAAAAATCATGGAGCAACCAGCTCTAGACGATTTTCGCTGGAATGACCCTGTTGGAAAATGTATATGTTGTGTTTACCTATTTCACATCATTTGAACCAATCAGTGCGCTTATGTAATTTAGAAATTTCAGACATTACAACACCGTTAAGAAACAGCTGCAAATTACCTCACAAATACTTTATTTTAATGTTGGATTCTAATCTGGTCGATTAATATTAAAAAAAATAACTACAATTTAACAAGTTTTGGTTTTTTGGAAATCATCTTTGATCCGTTATGTCTTGAGTACTTTTACAATGTAAAATACAACACTTTCCCATCTTGAATAAATCCAATCACACAAAGAAAAGCTGGGCATACAACCTATTTTTCACAGCTAAATCAAATTTTACCGGGGTCTCCAAAACTTTCGATTCCGGTTAGGCGAAAACTTAGTGGAAGGGGAAATATATCTCAACTCTCTTTATAGGAACTCTAAGTGGGACAAATGATATTGCTGGACTCTAAACCCCCTACATTCTACAATTTTTAACCGATTTCAATAAATTGTTTTTTAAATAATCTGTATAAAATTTGGAAGAGACCTATTGAACCGGATTTTGAGGAAGATAACAGTCCCAAATTTTAGTGAACTGCTTTGCTTGTCAACATTTGTAGGATAAGCATTTTCGGTGTGACGCTTCACTTTCGATTGGTCAAGTGATTATCATGTCGTCAAGTGATGTGTTTGTAATTAAATGTAAAAAACCGCTGCCAAGTTGTACATTTTTATAATTTTGGTGTTCATTTCATGAACACTTTGCTTCCTCATAGAAATAGTAATAATTGAAATATAAGAATTGAATAAAATTGTTTAATTTTTTTTTTAAATGATAAGTAGGGTAATGTCACCTTGAGTGGAGCGCCTAAGCTTTTTTTCTAAAAAATTCTTTATGAAAGCAATTTAATCGGAGGTTTCTATTCCAAGCTTTAGTTTAGATCCCCAGATAAGTGTTTATACCATAATAGCTTTGATTTTTTTTTATTTGGAAAAACAATTGACTTTTAAAAAAAGCTAATTTTTAAGGAATGAAAAAAGTGTAACCTTGAGTGGACCACTCCAAAGAAATTGTAAAAGTTATTCTAAATCCTTTAATGTATTTAATATTTCTGATACATTAAAACAAAATTTATGCCTATGCAGCTTCAGATCATGTTTGTGTCGCAATGTTTACAAGTGAAACCATTTTCAATAATTTTGGCACATATCTCATCAAAATCACAAAAAAGTTAATAAAGAACATAAAACAGTTTCAAACCAATTTATTGTCAATTTATTTCCATTAAAATAGTAAGCTGACATTAAAAATATAAAAAACAGGCAGTCCACTCATGGTTATAAACAGTGGTCCACTCATGGTGACATGCAACTTTTTATGGCAGTCACCACAATTTTTTTTTAGTCAAAATTATCACTAAATTAAACTAAAACAATCAATTTCAATGTCCAAAGTAGTAGGAAAAAAATAAGTTACCTTTTAAAACTGAAATTTTACACTACTTTTACACTTCCGAATCACTTTACTCATTGTAAGAGCGACTTGATTTTTGGTTTGTGATCTTAAAAATGCGTTACATCAAACGATAACGTATATGATTATCGCGGAACATAATTTCTTACGGTTTTTAGGTGCGGTGCTGCTATTCGTTTTATTTATTTCACGTTTCCGCTGTCAGATAATTTAAAAGCTCAGGCGGTCCACTCAAGGTGACATTACTCTAAGTGTTAAATTTTTACTATGGAAATTGATAATAATTATTAGAGAGTAGATTTTGTAATATTAATGAAGACATCAAAAATAAAACTCATATATTATATTATATTTTTCATATTTTCTATACGTTAAACTTTTTTTCTGGAATAAAAAATTGTAATATAACTTTTTCCCTGACAGTCTTAATGACCTACTGTGGATAAAATCGTTTTTCCTTCAGGAGTATTAACAATTGTATTAACAATAAGTTCTAGGCATGGACGTAAGAAATATAGGGACATGGCATATAGATGCGGGGGGACACTTTGCAGTCCGTAAGGGGAGACGTTGGCGAATTGCTAATTGGTTAAGAAAATGTACGTGTTATATGGCAATTGGCGCCTGCGCATTAAGTCTACCAATAGGGAATCGACCAACGTAGCGTTTTCCCTTCCGATCTGCCAACGTACCTGCCCACATTTTGACTTTGAGGCCTGTCCCTATATTTCTTATGTCCATGGTTCTAGGGGTTTTAAAATATGACACTTAAAAGCACAATGTTTATTTTGAAAAATACTTGTAATTTTTTAATTTAAAGTCTTCTTCTTTTGCATTACAGTTCTGGATGTGGAAGCATTTGAGCGTTTATTGGGTCCTTGCATGGAGTTGATGAAGCGTAACATCGACGATTACGAAGATCAACTGATCAAGATCTTTGGCAGCAAAACGGAAATCTCTGATATCCGATGAACTCCTGCATATCTGCAGAACCGTGCCCATTGTAATGAGATTCCTCATTCAGGGCGACACTCTGCACAAAGTTGTACCAGCATTCATTTTTGAACTTCATCCACATAATTTAAAAAAGTCTTCTCGAGATGTCATTCGTACAACTGTCCATTAAACGTACGTCATTCATCATTCGCGTCTACGGCATTTACACCTACAACTATTTAATTATTAACCTAACACTATAGACCACAAATCCTTAGAATATGTACGGCACGCCATGAGAATAATTATCAAGACTGTATTAGATCGAAAAGTATTACAGTTTTATTATGAAGTTGCCACTTTTTTGGCTAAGTATCTTTGGTTACCGTGCTAATAGTGCCATTATTGTTCTAATTTATTTCAACACAGAACGAGTCCCTTTAATTCAAGAAAACTAGTCTCCCGTTGTTGAGCCGAAGAATACTTTTAGTTTTTTAAATATTTTACTTGTTCCGAAACTTGCTGTAATTTTTGGCGGATGAAAATGTGGTTTCCTTCCAAATGGAGAGTTTTACAATACAAACGACCTGTTATTTTTCAGTTGATAATTATGAAATTGGAATATAGACCAGTGGAGTATATTTTGAAACCCTTTTTACATTAGAATTTTCAATTTTCCATCTTTTTGTTTTTTGAGTCTAGAATTTGATTTTAATTTTGAATATTTAAGGTACTAGTACAAAGTCATCTCTATTAAGAAAGTGTCTTTTCTAAATAATTATTTAATTTAAATCTGCCCAATTAACCCAAGCTTTCAGCAGGCAAATTGGATAACTTGATCGATTTTGTTATAGACGCTGAAAAATAGGTGCTTGTTATAATCTTAATAAAGCTGCAATATTCATTTTATATAAATATAACGGTGATCGCCACCAAACTGAATTCATTAAAATAAAAAAAAAATCTCTAGCCATGTTAAGGTATCGTATATTGTCATTAGAGCGATCATTTAATTATGTTAAATGTCAGTATGCAAATATACTGTAAGCTAGAATAAGCGCTTCGCAAACGTGAAACGTTTCATTTCGTTTTCAGACCGAATCGACTACAATGCACAAATACCTCCTGTATATTATTTTAATGTTATTAATTTTGAGGCTATTTCATTTTTCACATTTGTCCAATGGATTATTTTTTAATCAATTTTAAATTTGTATTTCCGCGTGGAATCATTTCATTTTTTATCGAGAAACATGAAAAAAAACGAAAACCGATTAGACGACTTTTAAAAACATAAAATGTTGAGGCTGATTTGTTCTTATTATCAGAGTCAATTTTGTGCATAGTATAAACAAATATGCCAACCATCTTGTATTTTTCAAGTATTTCAATAAAAATACTATAATTACTTGAAAAATATTAAAATCCAATGTGTGACAAAAGGTGCACAGAAATAAAGATGAATAACTTACTAGTCATTGTTTAAAAAAGTGTGCTATTGTTACTATTAATTTTATTTATATTGTTATTATTTTAATTATTATATTATCTCTAAATGCCGAATTAGGCATAGAAAAGTTGTATTATTTTATTAGCAAGAGTGTTTGTTCGTTATAATCGTTTCGTTCCGTACATTAAATAAGAAATAAATCTTGACTTCCAAAAATTCATCAGATCACAGTGATTGTTATAAAACGATGTGGATTGTAAACTTATGTTATTTATCAATGCATCACAATAGATTCTTCTTTATTGCATTTAATGCATCGATTTTCGTATAGGATTTGAAAAATACAATTTTTTTAATTTTTCATTTTAAAAGTCACTGTGTTGCATGATATTGAAGAAAATATTCTGAATATGAATATTTTTGTTGAAAGAAAAAAAAGAAGAATAAGAATAAAAAGCTCGTGTGTGTATGTGTGTTATAATTTATTTAAAGTTTCAGAAAGTCGAAGGGAGAAATTATTTCAGACTATAAGTGATTGAAATTCATGAGATACATATAAATCCTCGTTACATTTGACTTTATGAGAAAAATATAAACTCTGATCAGAAAGTAATCAAAATAAAAGTTCCGAATTAAGGCATTATTACCATCTTATTGGTTTTACTTTTCTGTTCTACTGAAATCCATGTTAAAGATTAATAATAAAATTTATAATTTATTAAATTATTCGTATTGTTAATAAGATTAGTAATATTATTAAAGTAAATTGAATGCGGGAAATAACAATTTTTAAATTGTAGCTTTTAAATACACTCACGGATTCTGTGAAAAAATCTTCAGCCACCCCGGTCTGACTTGTATTCATTTTAAAGGATGCGATGGTTTGCGTTTTTATCTGCCACGAGTTCAAAATTCACTACAGCTATAGAAAAATATTGTTGTTAGTGATGTCGAAAACACCTAGTAATAAACGATATTAGAGCATTTCAATAATGACTGAAAATACCTAAAATGTGATGTGGAAAAAAGTGACTTTTATTTATATAATCATAAACTGATTTACAATAAAAGTTAAAAGAAAGTTATAGCTAGTAAATTTAAAATAAACAACTTGTAGATACAATGTATGCTATAATATCTATAGTTTTACACTGAAAAAAATTATTTGATTCAAATAGCCGATTATTTGTCTATCATGGAATATATATTTACTTGAATTAAATGCTAAATACCTTCTAGGGTGCTACAGACAGACTGGGGTGTTTGAAGATAAAAATTATTGTTCAGTATACGAATATTATTTCGGTACAAGTTCTTGAGGAACTAAATGTCACTGCTTGTCTTGAACCTGACCGCAGTAAGAAACTTTCACGAACCGTCTATAATAGGTGCAAAGGCAAGTCAAAGTACATAAAGGTACACTCAACATTGTCAAACATGCCAAGTATTTGTATAAAAAGCAACATCTAAAAATAACAACCTAAAAGCTGTTTTTTATTTTATAAATTTATTTACTTGTTGATTACTTATGAAAATTACTATTTTTATAAATAAATAAATGCTTTTTTAATTTGGGCGTGATTAATTTCAATTTTTGCTTTATTTATTTATACCTGATAATATAGAGAAAATTCTTCTGAAAGTCCCGAGATGGGCCGATTAAGTTTAAGGAGTTGAACAAATTTTTCAAAATTCGCTTGCAAGTTGCTCGTAATCTACGCTACACTTCACAGTGTGATTTTTTTACAATTGACTGTTTGAAACTGTCTATATCCTACAATTTTTGTTTTAACACTCAAATTGGTTAAAAATTACAGGTTGTAGACAGTTTCGAACAGTCAATTGTAAAAAAATTAAAATGTGAAGCGTAGCATAGCAGAAGAGTAACTTGCAAGCGAATTTTGAAAATTTTGTTTAACTTCTTAAATTCAAACGGCCCATCTCGGGACTTTAGGAGAATTTTCTCTATATTATCAGGTATAAATAAATAAATAAAAAATTTAAATTAATCACGCCCAAATTAAAAAAAATTAATTTGTTTATAAAAAAATAATTTTTTTATCCAACATGCACAAAAATGGCGCTGTTAGATAGCTGACGACAGGGAGTAAAGTCACTCATTTGTTCGACCATATAAAAATGGCGTCCATTTTCATACAAGTCGAACAAGTGAATGACTTTTACTCCCTGTCGTCTGCTATCTGAAATCGCCACTTTTGTGCATTAGGAATAAAAAATATTGTAAGTAACATGGGAATAAAGGCATCCCAATTTGTTTACGATGATTTTTGTGACACGAGTGGAGGTCTTGGGACGCGGCGCCTCGACCTCTACTCGTGTCACAAAAATCACCGTAAACAAATGGCTGCCTTCATACCCTTGTTGCTTAATATACTATTTATTTACATTACTTAAAAGTTGAAGAAAAACTAAAATTTTCTTTCTTTGACAACTTTTTTCTAAACTTAATACTTTCAAACTTATAAGCTTCTGAAAGTAGGTCATCTTTTAAAAATCGAAAATTTCGAAAATTTATAACTCCAAAATTTGGGCAATTATACTAAAATAAAAAAATTTAATATTTATTTAATATTTTTCTATAAAGAACGAGAAAAATTATGTCATAGAAAAATTTCACGTCCATATGCAGAGCAGTTTAGTTGAAGTTGCGCTGTGCCGGAAGCTCTCACTCTCACTTGTACTTAGACTGCCTTTGCACCAGTTCTAAACACTCCATTATGTCGTATGAGGGTAAAAAAATAGAAAGTATTAGCTCTCAGTAATATTGATTGCAAGAAGAGATCATTTGCTTAGGAAGAATGAATATTTTAATGTACGAAGATGAAAAGATGCCTATTATTAACCATGGCTTTGCGATCATCTCCTGCTATTTAACAATATCGATATAGCTTGTGTAATAATCGTTAGAAAAGTAAGACTCCTTAAAAATAATAAAATTTCAACCTCATACTTCAATAAAATATGTTGAATCACACTAAAGTCGAGGAAAAATACTATAATTGTTAAAGTAGAATTGTAGTCCTTAATAACTACAAGATTTCCAATGTGCGCTCTTACAAAAACTATTCTTAATCATAAAAAATTCTGAATCGATCTGCGACCAAAGTTATTCTCCAAATTAAAAAATTAAACAAATCGTTTAAAGAATAAAATTAATAAATCTATTAAATTTTTATTTGAGAAAATATTTTTTTCAAGTTAAAATCTTAATAACATTAAAATAAATTAAATCGACCCACTCAAAAAGTACAAAATTCAAAGTTCTTTTCTATTCATGCAATTTTTATTTTTAATTGGGGAGAAATAGTTTTAATAGTTTAATCAAAAATTATGTAATTTTCATTAAAGAAAAGATAATTGTGTTTTGTTCAAAGTTTATTAAAACTATTTTATTAATTTATTAATAATTTTAAAAAAATATGAAGGTATGTTCATGAAATTTGTAGAAACCACTATAGAATTTATATTTTGAACTGAAATGCAACATTAATTTCATACCCTATCAAAAATTTCTTCATCACCTCATAAAAAACATTCTATTATTTGGATTCCTGTAAAACATAGGACCGACGCTCTAATTGTGCAGCCGCTACTTTTTAGAAGATTATTAAATAACTATTAACTTGAAAAAAAATATCTAAAACTTTTCATTTTTATTTTCAAAAAACTGATGAAATTTAGAAATAATAACAGCTTAACGGTAAAAAATATTAATTTTTCAATCAGATATTTAACAAAAGCCCTATTTTCAGTGACTTACCTAATTTCTTTAAATCTCCCAAAAATTAACGTTTTTAACGTTCATTTTTTTGTAGAATATTGAGATATTTTACAAGAATTTATCTACATATATACATTCGTTTTGAAAAAGCAAATCATAAAAGCTGAATTAAAAAAGTATAAAAATTTGAAAGGAACTTTTATAACTGGAAAATAATTTGAATTAACAAAAAAAATATCAATTTTACAGAAAATTTTGATTAAAATGTGCCTGGACATTTGTTAAATATCAGATTTGAAAATTAATATTTTTTGTCGTTAAGGTGTTATTTTCTCTGAATTTTATCAGTTTTATAAAAATAAATTGGAAAAAAATTTACATATTATTTTTTTCAAGTTTACAGTTATATAATTATAATATTCATGTTATAGTTATATATAATAGTCGTTAAAAAAGTACAGGTCACACAATTTCCGCCGGTAGTGTATAAGACTTCATAAACTATATCGTATATATTCTGAAATTATAACATTGTTAATGATGTGGAAATTTTCAATAAATTTTAATTATTTATAATAACAATAAAAAATTGTGGTTCTGTAACTTGCCTATATATTTTTTAATGAGTCGATTTAATCACTGTTTTTAAATTTTATATTGAAAAATTGTAAAATTGAAGAATTTTATTATTTTTATGATTACTTAAAAATAGCAGAAACATCTTTATAAAGAACCAAATAACCATCATATCAATTGAGGCTCCTCTCTCAACTAAAATTTGTTCGACGATCATTGCACTGCCGACAAATGTGGTCCAGAACTTTCTTGCAATAGAAATAAATTATTGTACAAAGTGTGAGAAAAATTAATCTGAAATGGACATGGATCGATTCAGCTTGTAAGTCAAGAATAACGATTTTATTTTTCGAGCAAACTATTTACAGTGATTTCCATTTTCTTCGAGCTTTCAGGTGGATATCTAAGAAGAATATAAATAAATAAATAAATAAATAAATATATATATATATATATATATATATATAAATATATTTAAAAATAAGCGACTTGACGATCTTTAAGGACCATTAAAACCTGCATAAAATAAAATGATAACATTCAAGTAGATAAAGAAACGAAATGTATTTCGAAACTGGAAGTATTGTAAGATAAGTACTTAATACTCCTTCGTCAAATGGAGAAAATGGAGAAAAAACTTTAATAAGAATAATAATTATAAAAAAGTTAACAAAATTAGTGACTCGTTTACAGCTGGTCTGATCGGGTGTCACCATATCATTTGTTGAGAAGAAATAAACTTTACGATTTACGTTTATAACGTCGAAAATCAATTTGAAATAGGTATTCATTGAATCATTGTGCAGATACAAAATCGATCTGTGTGTATATGTGCGTGTGTGTAGGTGGAAATGAAAATGTTTTGTTATTTCTGTAAATCTTTGTTCGCAGTAAGAGACCCCAGGTAGCACAACGTTTTCCACAAGTTTGAATTTAGTTATTTTCTCAAATAACGTAATGTTTACTTGATAGCAAGTTTGTACAGGAAATTTGCAGAAAACTTGAGTTTTTCTTGCGCATTTGTTTCTGCTTTTCAATGACTGCGCAATATACATTCGCTATGTATAGGGAATGTATATGATGTAATAAAATATGTACATACATGTTGAAAAACATTATTTCACAATGTTTTTTAAGAAAGTTACTTGCTGTAATAATTTTCTATCAGGAAAGCGCTTCACTACTTGCTACAAGCCTGATTGTCATCATGTTTTTCATTACGGGAAAATGTTGTGCCAGCAGGGACATAAATGACAATTGCTGACAGGAGTCGCTACTCGAATAGGTGTTAATTTAGAATTGCTCCTCATTTTGTCATATTTATTTCTGAAAAAGAATTTAAAAAAATAAAAAAGAAATCTATAATTTTGTAAACACTCTCTTCGTTGATGAAATTTATCGATGTGGCTTTTCCATTGTATGCCTGTCTTTTTCCACTTTGCAAACATAATCTTATTCGAGAAGCGAACATTATGGTTACGTATACTATTGATTAAACTAGATAGTGTAATAAAAATTAATATAAATAAATGGATGGACCCTATAATAATTTTAGTTTTATTCGTGCCCAAACTTTTTTTATATATTGCAAAAAAGATTTAATTTTATCAAGATTTTTACAT